CAATGATCCCTGTGAATGTTTTGCAAGTTGTTGAGTTATCTGAGCAATCTGTGTCTCCAACTTTTTGATAGATGATTGCTGATTTTGAAAATTAGTATCAAATTATTGGAATACTTTGTCTATTTTCTGCACATATTGATGAAATATCTTCCCCAAACTTGATTTGTTCTCCTATTGGGCATTATTTAAACTATTCCATTGTTGATTATCTGACCATCTGAAATTCGAGTGTTGTCTCCATCCTGGGTTATATGTTTGCGAATATGGGTTAAAATTGTGGGAACCATTCTGAATGAAGTTGACTTGTTTTTCGGAAAAGCCCATAGACATACAATTTTCTGTTAATGGTTAGCTCCACAGTTTTCGCATAATGGACCATCCTCACTGCATGTGCTCCTCTCGTTTGTGATTTTACCAATAGCTCCACATGTTTTGTCAAAGCTCTATCTACGCATTCGTAGATGTTGTGCTATCCAATTCATACATCCCAAATGCTCTTGATGGTATCACTCTTTCTAATGAAAATATTGAATGTGTAGTCACCATTAACTCAAATAAATTCATGGTTTGTTGTACTATTTTTCTATTATCGATCCATCAGTAGAAGAAGTCACCTGAGATTTTGACAGTGGTGAGAGTCCGGTGTAGAANGTATATGGAAATAATCGCAACTTAACAGCGTCTTCATTAACCTCCGGAGCATGGAAGTCCTGACAATTTTTGAGAATTCTGAAGATATGTGTGTTCGGATTTCCATGAGGTAACCCGTAGAATTGGAGAATGTTGCTCTTCAAATTAATCAACTCCGCCATTATCTGAAAATTATTTACCTTGAAATCTGGATACACAATACTAGAATGTGCAAGCGCGACTATGGGCGTCAAGGACATTGAAACTTTCAAGTCTCCTTCATTTATTTCACCTCGCTCCTGCTGCTAATCCGGTGTCGTCGTCACTCTTGCTGCCACATGTCCAATTGACTGAATAAGAATATGAATATTTTGAACGTCAACCATTTCATGTGGTTGTTTTTGTTTGTGTTCATTGCATGTTCGTCTGAAAGTAAGTTCTATTTTCGAATCAAACGGTTCAAGATCATCGCTTTGGGTACGGAGTATACAACAAACTCTTTTTTTTTTTCGTTTTTTAATAAAAGAAAGTAAAATAAGATAAAATCAAATAACAGTTAAAAATAAAATAAACTAAGACTAAAAGTAATGGAGTCAAAAACTTGTTGCGTTTTTTATATCGCAAGTGTACGATATTGTAACAAGCAGTATAATGGACTATTGAGTCTGAAATTCGTTCCCACGAAAACTGTACTTTAGGATTTAATCTAATTTTTCTAACTCATATTTGACAAAAGCGAGTAAATAATTATGATAGTTGTGATTATTTTTCCTACTAATTGAAAATATTAAATGATTGCAAACAATAGATAATTGAAAATTCAAATATGTAATGAATATTAGGACATAATAATTTCATATATTGATCACATTTATTCTTAATTCAAGATTCATAATCTAATCTAGTATTCTCTTGAATTCTTCTATTGCATTCAATTTACTCCTCTCGAGTTTTCATTAAGCCTATTTAACTAATTAAATTTCATATCTCTATGTGAATCAACTTTAGTTAAACGAAATACTAATTCTAAGAATTCATATTATGACATAATTAGTATATGTATCTCTACACGTTATACTAATTTATCGAATTTTATTATATGGTCTAAATCTCTAAATCACATAATAATCAAATTATTGATCAGGTAATTTAATGCATTAAACTCATAATAAAATCAACACAGAAATAAATAAATTACAGAAATCTTGACTAAAAAAATAAAGGATCACAAGTTGACTACATTGTTTTCCCTAATATAAAAATTAGTTATTCATATTGTAAAAATAAAAATATGCAAAACTGAAAAAATATCACTAAAAATTGACGAAATGTGAAAATTTCTGATGTTTGCATGCTCCTTTCCTTTCCTTTTCTTTCTTTCTATTTTCTCTCTTTTTTTTTTCCTCTGCCCGCATTCCTTTCTGCTGCCTTTTTCTTTGACTTTTCCAACTTTTTTTTTTTTTCTTTTTCCTTTGGTTTTCTCTTCTCTTTTCTGTTTTCCTTCCGCGCGTTTCTTTTTTGTTTTTCTTTTTGCCCCTGGCGCCTCCGTCTGTCTTTCTGTGTGTGCATTTAATTTGTACCTCGAAATAAAATTTTCAATGCAAGTCTATTAAAATTCATTTAACTTGAACTCATTTAATGTAATATTTCTCTCTATGGTTTCAAGTTTGAATTTTGTTATTTTCGCCACTTTTGCATTCTTCTCTTCAATTCTTCATTAAATATAAAATTTTACCTACAAAATGTAATATAATATAAATTAGGTAAAATTTCATCCAAAAAACAATAAAATATTATAATTTAGGGTCTAGAATAAGTGTATAAACTACACCTCTCAACCGTATTTTGGTCATGGAATTTTAAGCAAACTTCCATTTTTGTTACAACCTTTAGTTCGTGAAACGCAGTTGACCACTGCACATTTAACATAAATAATAATAATTAGTCCATGTCAAATATCCCATTAGTGTTTGACAGAAAGTTGAATGATGGTGACAAAAGTTTAGTTGACTAATAGTGGTTTTAAGTTTTTAACCCCTTTATAAAATACTGACCTTTTAGCTTAACGAATTACCATTACAATCCCACAGTTAAATTTTGGTTCATTGAATTTTCATAAACAAAAAGTAATGATGATAAGTTTCCAGTTTTCATTAATCACCTTTACATAATGTCTTCTGCCGATCCCTCATTTTGTCTTCCATGATGCCTGTATATGTCACATCAAATGAAAATGACCCTACAACTTCGGCAAATTTATAAATAAAAATAGTAGCGGATCCCAAATAATAATAAAATGTGAGGTTAAAATTTATAAATAGTATCCAAATAAAGTGGTGCATAACTTTTATACACTTCATAACTTCTTTACACTTCATATACTCTGCATTCCTTGGACTTTGGTCATATTGGATCATTGGGAACCATCACAAGTACGATCGAGTTATATTTGGACGAAAATGCAGTGGTTGGTGAGCTCAAATGTGACACTTTCACAGTTACTAGATCTGGCCAACTAGTTAATTGAGCTTTGGGAAGTTATTATTTGAATATGCAACCCTTATCTTCAGTGTGCATATCACATGGAATACTGGTATAACAACTATTGTGACCATGAAGTCATACTTTTGTTAACAAGAGGCTATTATGTCATATTTAGTACGATGTACCATACTAGTTCAACTAAATTAATAATAATAATAAATTATGGGTTATTGTGTTTTAAGTGTGAGATTTAAGACATGCAAACTTCCCATATATATTGTTTCATGTATATATAGGAATTCACTTATGGTCTGTTTGGGCCAAATTTTAATATAAGTCAAAGGCAAACAATTAATATTAACCATATCTTTCATGGGTCCACATCTTTTCAACCAAACATTTCAAAAACTTCTATCACAATCCACTTAAAATCTGATTTTAATTTACACCAAACACACTCTTAAATAAGCAATTCATAATGAGTAATGTTATTCATCAACTGATGTTTAGCACCGTTCTAGGTGGTATCACTTGTATCATTAAATTACAAGTTCAATTAAATAAAAAAAATGATGATTAATTTATTAGGACTTATCACATGTTGACATCTAAACTGGTACTAGATATCATTATTTATTGAAACTGGTGCTTAAAATAATAATAATAATAACAGATTTCTCTAAAGCGGGAACATTGACCCTAACTGAAATGTTTATATAGATCTTCGACGTATGTACGTGCATGAAGGAGAGTCTTAAGAGGGATGGGATATTCCCAAACTGGCTTTGACCATGGACTAGTGTGCTCTAGAGAAGATACACTATGAACGATCATGAGCTAAAATAATATCTTTAGGATATATGATGACTAGGAACATATGAGAGCACAAGAAATTAAAGTGAGATTTTCTTTGTTACCGGTTAAATCATCTTTGTTTCTTTTATCGACCGAGTTCGTGTCCTCTGTCCCTTTCATTTTATTTTTTTGAGTATCAATAAATAAACTAACCTATGTGGGGTTAGATTTAAAAATAAATAAATCAGACAAGCAATTGAAACCTGAGATGAAAATAGAGAAGAATACAAAAGCAAACTCGGGTTTTCCACAATACAGTGCAACTAAAAATCATGCACTTCATATAGATTGATGATTCCATCATCTTACAAGAGGAAGAAAGGGAAATATACCGAACATTTAATTAATGTATATACGTACAACATTACATTCCCTCGATTAGCCCATCACAAGCTCTTTGGAAACTTAACTTCATGCCTTGTTAAATGTTGTTGTAGGTTACCAGAGATTGAAGCCTGAACCATTACTGCACTGCAGAAGAGGTGGCGGCGGGAGTGAAGCATGGAAGCCTGAAACACCACTACACGGAGGAGGAGATGGTGGCGGTGGGGAGTTGCAGAATATGATGAAAACGATATCGTCACCTTTTGATGATTATACAATGCCTTAGTATGACTGCTTGTTTTACTCTTCAAAGTACACATATTTCTATCTTTGGTTTTGATGTAAGAGGTCTCTCTCCTCACGAAAAAGATCCTTGACTATTTTTCCCTTCCACCCACCCCACCCTCTCTCTCTCTGCAGGATCAAGAAAACCAAGTTGCAAACTCTCACCAACCACATTCCACTCCTATGAATTGTCTCTTTCACTTACTGTCCCCTCTGAGTTTTTATACATTCATATTCCCTTTCATACCAAAATGATGAATTTCTCAAAAACATAATATACTAGTTGTTTTAAGATCCATAACCAACACACACACACACGCATGAACACACAAGCAAGAAATCACACATAAAAAGTAAAAAAAAGAAAGAACTTAATTACGGTTTAATTTATAGTAATAATATCTTGAAGTGACCTCTAGTATTCAAGGATATATATTGATATTGGTTTTTTGTCTCTTAACATTCCCTGAACCAGATTCATCACCATTAGATTTCTCCATAACTGCTTTAAGGGCTTCTTGTATTGAGCTAATACAGTATTGTTGCTGTTCCTCCTCCTCATCTTCTTCCCCAGCAATGAACAAAACATTCTTCACACGCCCTCCGAGTGTTGTAATTTCAGCTTTGAGTGTTCTTAACCTTAGTGCTTTTAGGGTCTTGATAAGATCAGGCAAAAGATCAGGTCTGTCTTCACAGCAGATTGAAGCTTTGATCATAAATTTATTATCTTCATCTGATGCATCATCCACTATTAACTCGTCGACCTCAGTTGGAACTGGACTTGTTTCTGCTATTATTGAAGTTTGGCGCTTCAGCTCCTTCACATGCTGGATTACTTCTGCAAGCAATGAAGCTTTATCCGTCTACAATTCACAAAAAATATCAATTGAATTGAGAATACCATCACATTTCCTAGCAAGGCAATTGCATAAATAGAAATACAGTCACAAAATTCTCCTTGCTAAACTTCATCAACTACAAAGTTATCCATTGAGATGGAATTTCCGGCTTCAGAGACGACGGTCTGTATTGCAAAATGAACCAAGAAATGTGAGAAACTAATATATAGGGTTTGAAGGAATTGCTAGTTTGATGATGGAAACTAGAAATTTTTGTTAGTGTCTTAATAGTGGGGTTTGAGGGACTAAACCTGACATGGGTAAACATTGTATATAAACGTGCCAACTACTGACAAGAATGCTTGTTTGTCTGTATATTTCTAATCTATTTTATTCTCCTGTAATTTGGACTGTAAATCCGGGAAGAATTTTCCATTGAAAGCTTTTCAACTGCTCCATGGTTTCTTTTTATCATATCAGCGGAACGACACCCTTTACCATTTTTCTTCCTCGGAACTACCACCAAGAATCACAATCCAACAAGAGAATCATAAAATTACATAAAAAAATTTCACTTTCCGCACCTAAATATCCACTCGGACAAACGTCTCATTTCTTGAAGAATCTGAGTAGGATAGGATCTTGGGATATCTACAGCGATCTTTGAACTAAAAAAAGTCAATAAAAAAGTAAACTTTAAGGTTGGTGTGGTCGATTACTATTGCTTAGATACTGCAGAGAGTGCTTTCAAAATGGTAATGGTTGTTGGAATGGAATCTAAGAAGAAAATTAATAATGCTTACTTTGGTTGTACTTGGGAGTAAGCTTCTGAGCTTAGCAAGATGGTTATTGATTCTCTCTCTTCGTCTCCTCTCAGCTTCACTGTGGCTTTTAGATGCAGCGAGTGCCTTAGCATCCATGATTTCTTGAGCAGTCATTTTCTGCAGCTCCGCCTGGAGGCCAAAAGGGCCGGCGGAGCCAGGGTGCACCACCTGCCCAAGGGAGTCTGAAATGAGTCTCAAATGGTCCGTTGATGAACCCTCGTACCCGAATTGCAAACCCGGAGGCCTTCTGTTGAATAAACCGCCATAGGGTACTGATGGAGTTGGAGGGAGGAGAAACGGATCGTGGTCACGGGTTGGGAAATGAATCGGGTTGAAGTTGTGAACCGGTGGTAGACTCCATGGCAGGATTTGGGATACTTCAGGGTAAGTCAAAGTGGATCCCCCACCTCCACCTCCTCCCATATATGCATCAGCACTACTATTCTGTTGCTGCATCTGTTGTTAATGGTACAGTTCTTGATTCCAATGGCTCCCTGCAAAATTTTCTTGAGTATATTACAAGTATACAAACCTGACCTTTATAATATATACATATATATGTGTGGTTATGATTATTTGGAAGCTTAAATTAAAAAAACTTTAGGGTAGTTGCATAATCATAGCATCTTTGTTTCTTATAAGGATGAAAAGGGGGAATATACGAAAAAATTTGGATTATACTTCCTGTGGGGAAAAAGGGATGCCCAGAGAGAGAGCAGAAAAGAGAAGGTAAAGACAGACCTTAGAAAGAGTTTCTTTGGCCACCCGCAATTCTTCTTTCTCTCTCTCTGAAAACCTGGTATTTTTTTTCTTCTTCTTCTTGACTGACACAGCCTTTGTGGAGAAGGTGAATGGGCGAAGAACCCTTTTTATCCTAGTCTCAATAAGCTTGGTTGGTATCTTTTTGGTTTCTTTGTTTTTATTTTTATTTTTTGCGGGGCCCCCCACCCCCACCCACCACTATTACTAACATATATAGAGGTATGCAAGTACTGTTAGTCTTCTTTCCTTTCTTCTTACGGCATTCTCTTTTCTCTCACACTATCCAATTCTGTAGCCATCGGAAGAGAGAACTTTTTTTGCGCATATACATACGTTACTGCGTATAATTTGGCACGTTGCTTTGTGATTGGTTCAAAGTCTATAATTACACTCTCTGAATGATGCTGCCCCATAAAGAAGAAAAGAGTGAGGGAGTGGGGTGGGTGGGTGGGTGGGGAAATGGGGGTAGGGGGAGACACAAGCACAACATAGCGAACGCAAAAAATACAGATTGTCGACCGACCAAAGACAAATAATAAAGCAGAGTTAGTGTGTGTGATGATAAAAGATTGCTGGTGGCTATATAGCTTTGGTCAAGCCACCACGTTCTTCCATATTATTCCCATCTCTATACCTATTTTCCACGCCAACCCTTTTATGCTTCCCCAAGACCCATGTAATCATTGTGTCT